AAGCAATCAAATGTGACCTATAATGAAGAGAAAGATTAGTCATTAGAAGCAGAACAATATTGTTCATGAATGAAGAAGCAAAATCTTCAACAAAATATTAGCAAGTTGAAGTAAGCAATATATAAAAAAGGTAATACACTATGATCAAGTGTGCTTTTTCCCAAGAATGCAACATTGGCTTAACGTAAAAACCGATTAATGTAGTTTGCTATATTATTAAAATAAAGGAGAAAAACAATATGATCATCTCAATAAGTGAGACAAAAAAAATCACTTGGCAAAATAATAAAAAAGTCCCAGAAAACTAGGAATATAAGAGAATTTCCTAATAAACATATGAAAAATCTGCTCCACAGTTAAGATCATATTTAATAATAAATATTGGATACAGTTTCCCTAAGATCAAGAACAATGCAGGGACACCTATTCTGCATTGTACTAGGGTTCCTAACCAGTTTAATAAGGCAAGGAAAGACCGGAAAGAAAGACACTAAACTGCATTTACAGATGTCATTATTGCCTATATAGAAAATTTTAAGAAACCTATAAAAGACAAAAAAAAAAAAAAAAACTAATAAGGAAATTAGCAAGGTAAGTAAGTATAAAGTTCAATATATAAAAAATCAGTTGTATTTTTGCAGCCAACAATTGGGAAATGAAGTTTTTAAAAATATTATATACAGTAGCCTAAGATATCTAAAATACTCAGGAATAAATTTAACTAAAGATGCACAAGACACTAAGAACTATAAAACAATGCTGAGACCAATTAAAGAAAAGTTAAATAAATGGCATGATGTATCATGTTCAAAGATCAAAAGATGCCATATTGTTAAGATACTAAATGTCTCCAGATTGACTTATAGATTCAACTCAAGCCCAATCAAACTCCCATCAGATTTTTTGTAGAAATACACTGATTGTTTTTGTAGAAATAAGCTGATTCTTAAATTTACATTGAAATGCAAAGGACCTAAGTTAGCCCAAACAATCTTGACAAAGAAGAGCAAAGTTGGAGGACATATATTACCTGATATTAAGACTCATTAAATAGTTACAGTAAAAAAGACAGTGTGGTGTTAGGGGTGAGGATAGACAACTACATGAGTGGAATAGAATGTAGTCCAAAAATAGAACACACATATATAGTCAATTGATTTTCAACAAAGGTGCCAACATAATTCAGTGGGGAAAGGTGAACTCAGATTTACTGTTATGGTCTTATGTTACTTTTTCACATTTTACATATTAGTTGTTAAGGGCAGGGAGACTATGTCCCATTTATCTCCCATGAATAAGCCAGGGCTTGCACATACCAGGCACTCCATATGTATCTGTTGAGTTAGATTGAATCAGAAATCAGAATGATACTCAGGAAGATGTATACCATCTATGTTGGGATTTGATAAGTATTTTTAATAAAGGGAAGGCTCAGGTAATAGTTAAATTCAAAAACATATAAGCTTCTAGGAGCCATTTTTAGGATTAGATTAAAATATATATAATATTTATTGAGATCTGGGCAGATTGGGTGTTTCCAGAGATAACTTTTCTTTCCAAGATGTAACTACTTTGATTCAAGTATTTGATGAATATTGGATAAAGACACAGCCAGAGATTCATATCAAACTAGGCTCCCTATAACTAGAAGGGCCCCAGACATGGAAAGTACCAGAATAATGCTCATTCATTCATTCATTCATTCAGTGTTCATCATGTACTTACTAGGCACCAAGCATACAGTGATGAACAAGACCTACATCACTCTGTCACCACTTTTCTCATGTAGAAATCACAGAGGATATTTTAAGGTTTCACTAAAATCAGAACTCTCTTAGTCTAGAATATAAATTAGTAGTGATGGCAGATTTTAGATCAATAATCTCATGCTCCTTCTGCTTTATATTAGTGTTACCCAATAGAAATATAATGTGAGCTACATATGTAATTTTAAAATTTCTAGTAGCAAAATAAATAAATAAATAAATAAAATCTCTAGTAGCCACATTAAAAAGTAAAAAGAAACAGGTGAATTTAGATTGGGTAATATATTTTATCTAACTTAATATACACAAAATATCATTATTTTGACATATCAATATTTTTTAAATTGTCGAAGTAATATTTTTAATTCTTTTTTTTTTTTTTTGGACTAAGGCTTCAAATCTCAGTGTGTATTTTACCCTTACAGCACATCTCAATTTAGTCAAGCCACATTTCAAATGTTGAATAACCACTTAGAGCTAGTGGCTACCTTATTGAACAGAGATAGGAATCAACTCTGAGTCAGCTACAGTCTGTTGAAGTTTGTAAGTAGATTCCAGAAAGAGAACTGATGGTACTTCTGGCCATAATGTTAGAGGGAAATCACAGTATCCAGGAAAGAACCCCCATTATTCTGTTGCTAGAAACATCAGGATCTGTGGTTAAGATGAACCTAATTCTGTTATAGCTGAATAACTTACCACCAGCTTTCATCTGAAAGAGCTCCAGAGTTTTACTATATTTGGAGACAGCCAATGTGCAAATATATCCAAACCATATTTGAGAATTTCAGATCTTTCCAGTGTTCAGTGATTTCTACCAATAAGACAGCTTTTCAGGCCCCTAAAAAAAACCCTGCTATTCATATTTCTCAATGAATTTTTGTTGGATGAATGATGAAATGAACCAGTAACCCACATACCAGTTGTCTGAGACACAAATAAAATATTTTCAGCTCTAGGTTAATGAACCCATGCTCATTTGCATGCTTGCCTTCCATTTAAAATTCTTATGCATCCAACAGAATAATGCTTTCCCTTCACTCTAAGGTCATTATTTCCATTAGACTATAATATAAATCCCCTTATTTTCAAGAATAAGACTAATTTACTACACTGTGCACAATGAGCTATATTTTAGATTCTCAATTTATAATATTTCATCAAGGCTGAATCTTCACTAAGATTTAGAGAGGGAGTGAGTTGGAGCCAGCCTGCACTTAATCACTATTTTAACAAAACATTTACAGACTCATCAGAAAATTAGTTTTTCCTCATATGCAGTAGAGTTTCTTTAGGTGGGTGGTGCCATCCATCTTCACCTCAACAGAATCACCTGGCAAGTAGAATCCTGGGCCCACTGCTGAATCAAAATCCCTGGAGGTGTTTTCTGGAAATTTGCATTTGTAACAAGTACTAAGGGAGAACTCAAGTACAATAAACCTTGATAACCACTGCCCTACACTGAAATTCCACTTTAGTATACTTAAAGATAAAATTGCATACTACCATTTAAATCTGTTTCACCACTGGAGGAAATGCTATTTTCAGTACTTAATTTGTTCACTACCTTTGTTGAGTATTTCATTGTGTATTGTAATTGCCCTTTAGAGAGTACTCATCATTCAGCCCATAAGATGGATGCTGTGCTTTTTTTTTTTTAAGATTTATTTATTTATTTTAGAGAGCGAGACCATGGCAGGGAGGGGCAGGGGGAGAGGGAGAGAGAGAATTCAAGCAGACTCCACGCTGAGCATGGAGCCTGATGCAGGGCTCAGTCTCATGACCCTGAGATTATGACCTGAGTCAGACGTTCAACTGACAGCCACCCAGGCACCCCTGTGCTTTCTTGATATATAAGTTATGAATGATGGATTCAACCAAAGTAAAATTTACACTTCTCTTAAATGTCTAAAATCAAACTGACTAGGACCCAGATGATAGTCTTTTGCACCTTCCAAGTATAGTCTCCAAATGTTTGTGGCAAGTGTTAGGAAAGGTTCTTTGTTTTGTTGTGTCTTTTTCCTATGAAATCATTTTAAGGGTACTTTAATTCAGTCACAATTTTACAGATAGCTATTGAGCCAGACCCAAGTACTAGGGCTTCAAAAATGAATCTGATTTCAGTATTAGACTTCAAGGGAGTCCTAGCCTCCTCAAGGCAGGGATGAGGGGCAGACACATAAGCCCTGTGTTAAAATATAATGCAGTAAGTTTTTATGAGGTGCCATTGGAGTAGAGAGAAGTGAGACAGGGCGCAAAGGGGCTGGGATTCACAGAGGTTGTGCTGTGCTCTGTTTGAGTGTGAGCCATAGTCAACCAGAGAAGTGGAGTCATTCCTACAGGCTCATCCAGGACACAGGGAAGCTCAGAACATGGGTCTCCTGGATCCATACCTGCACTCTCTCTACTACACTCAGCTTTCTCCAAGAACCTGGCCTTCAAAAGCACTCTGGCTTCACTTTTTTTATACCCAAAGCTCTCTCTGGTTGTGAGTAAGATGTTAAGGGTGATACATTTCCTTTTCCGGCCACTAAGATGCCATTTAATTCACTCCAGCAATAACTAAATAGAACCCTACCTTTAAAAGATGCTGAGAGCAATGTGCTGCTAATTTATTGCCACATCTATTAAAGCTCTAGAGACAATTTGACTCCCTAGATTTTAAATATGGTAGAGATATTATGTTTCCCGATTTAATCCCTCCATAAATTAAGTGAAATGATTATAGTACCTGTTGTCACTTCATTCTTGCCCTATCTCCAATCACTCTTCTGCCTTCATTAATTCAGAATAAAATACCACAAGACATTAATGTAGCACTTGGAGATAGGAAGCCTGCATTTTTATAGCCTCAATATGAAATCCTACTTAAAGATGCTTACACCTTTACTGAATGAGGGGAAAAAAACCCAAAAACCTCTTCATCTCCTAATAACCTTCATTACGAGTGAGGAAACCAAGGCTCCGAGATGTTAAGTGGCTTGCCCAGGGCCACCGTATGAGTAATTACCAGAGCCGAAACGCCCACCCAGGTCTTCCAACTCCCAGCTCAAGGCGGTATTTCTAGGATATCCTCAAATCTTCTAGAGATTCTTTTAAAGCAGTCTCCTCACTGTTTGCAACAGGGCATTATTGCCAACATGTAAACAAAAACAAAAATCTTGGCATTCCCCCATCACTTTCTCATCACTGTTTTTAGTTTATCACTTCACAGTCATTATTTGGTGTTTTCTTACAGAAGGCAACAGACCACTGCAACAGAAACTATCCTTAGATGGGAATCCCAAACCTATACATGGAACACCAGAGAGGTCAGATGGCCTACAGTGGTCAGCTGAGCAGCCTTGTAACCCAAGCAAGCCTAAGGCAAAAACATCTCCTGTTAAGTCCAATACCCCTGCAGCTCATCTTGAAATAAAGCCAGATGAGTTGGCAAAGAAAAGAGGTAAAGTGATTTCTTTTGCACAAATGACTCAACACATTTTGCACACTCAGAGAAGTGCCAGAATGAAAGAATTTTCCAAAGGATGCTGCTTAGTGCAGAGAGATGCCCATGCAATTGCATTTCTTTCTGTGACCCACATAGTTTAAAAAGTAGATGTGATTCCTCCCATGTTCATCGAAGGTCTCAGATGTTTAAGAGGAATTACATCCCCTTTCTCTGCCCCTCCGTGGTCATTCTTCTCTTCATAGGCATGGATAGATTTGCACCATGAATCCTTTCTACCTTCATATTTTATGAAGCAAACGTTAATGCGGGAGCCCTTTTGGTAATGTGACTGCCGAATGTTTCCCTGGCACACACGTTCTTAACTTGCACTGAATGAAGATGAATCTAGAGGCTGATATGACCTTCCTCATGTAAATTCAGTTCTGTGTTAGAACTTGCAGACAGTATAACCCCAAAAGAGGATTTTATCATTGACACACTGTGTTTTTATTGTATTTTATTGTATTTTGGACTTTGTTATACTTTACACATAACTGGTATTAAACACGAAAGGTTTAATCACTTCCTTTCTGATTCCCAGAGGATGAAATGATATTCTTCTCATTCAGCCTCAGTTGTATCTGATTTCCTTGGCTTTGGTTTGATAGACCTTCTTACTTCTCTTGAGGGAGAGTGCTTTCTTCTAAGAAACGTGGCCTTGTTGGGATCGGTACAATTTGCCCATTTGCTCTGCCCTATCCGTGTACCTTGGTGACGGTTTCAGGAAATCAGGCGAGATTGGCAGCCATCGAGCAGCTCTGAGGGCTGCCGCTCTAATTACAGGCCTGGCTCGGGACTGATGGGAACCAGAGCCAGCATACCCGGCTCCCTCCCCTCCAGAGCTCATTTGTACCTCTCCCAATCCCCATGTCCTTTTCCTCCTCCAAAAGCCCCGCTGGCTTTTAACCACACAGAGTGGTGAGAGCCAGCGGCACCAATGGTCTTCAGACGTAATCAGATTCTAAGAAACTGTCATCTGTAATAGAACATAATGATCAGAGCCCCTTTCCAAAGCACAAGGGAGGCACGTGTGCCCAGAAGGGCCCGCCTGCAGCACCCACTAGTCAAACCACAGCACCAGTCACCCGCTGGGGTTTTTTTAAAAGTCTGGGTTGTAAACACGGAAACATCTTCTTGACAGAACTTTTTTCTTTTTTCATTGAGAAACAAAAGATAAACTCTCTCTTTTTATTAGGGGTAGGGGAGTTAGCTGCTTTTGTTGTTGTTGTTTAGCTCAGATAGAAAAAGATAAAGTGTTCAATTTAACATTTTTTTCATGACATTACTTTTAGGCCCAAACATTGAGAAATCGGTGAAGGATTTGCAACGCTGCACTGTATCTCTAACGAGATATCGTGTCATGATCAAGGAAGAAGTGGATAGTTCGGTGAAGAAGATCAAAGCTGCCTTTGCTGAATTACACAACTGGTGAGTAGTTCGACTTAGAAACTATAAACTGACGGCACTTGAGCTGTTCCTACAGGTAAAAGCATCTGATGGGAAATGTTGTTTATTTAATACATAAACATCACAGAACAACTCCTCAGCAAATTTTTTTAAGTCCTGCAGGCAGAGGCCTATATCTTGGGAATAAAAAAGAAGGGAAAATGTTTGAATAAGAAGAAACCCGATACACATAATTCACTGGAGTTTGAAGTTGGCCCCAAAGTATATGAATGATGTAGAACACAACCTCAACAAATGATATTTTTGACAAATCCCTGGAAGGCTAATATCATGAACGCCACTGAGAAAAAAAAATTTTCCAGCCTTATCATTATAAAATAAGAAAGACTCCCTTAACAAAACTCAGAAACATCTTAGGCAAGCTTAGTGATGGAATCCCATTCTTGGGTATCTTGAGACTGGGGAATTAAGAAATGATACACTGGTGTGGTTTTGGTCCTGCCTTGCCCTGCTCTGCAGCTGATGTTGATGGGAGACATTTCTTTGAGCTCTGTATATTTGCTTACGTGTACTGCATGACTGAAATGAGGTATCTACTGGTAAAGGTTAAGTTACTGTCAGTAGAAAAAGTTCTCAGTGTATCAGTCAAGACTCTTCCAGTTTCATGTGACAGAAACCCAAGTCACACTAGTTCACGACAAAGGATAATTTATTGGCTGATGTACATGAAAAATCCAGGAGATTCCTTTAAGCAAATTTGGTTCTAAGCCCAAATTGTGTTCTGAGAATTCAGTTTCTCTCTCCCTCCCTCCCTTTCTCCTTTTCTCCTTCTCTCCCTCCTTTCCTCTCTCAGCGTCTCCTACAATCTCCTGGCTCTGCTGATTCTTGGCTTCATTCTTAGGTATGATCTCTCCCATGTGGTAGCAAAGGTGACCCCCTAGCAGCTCCCAGCTTGCATAATCCTTAGTCCCTGTGATCTGAGAGAGAGCTTTGTCTCCACCAGTTCCAGCAAAAGTCCAAGGGCTAATTCGCATTGGTTGGGCTGGGTCATGTATCTGTCCCTAAACTGGTCACTGTGGCAAGAGGGACAGTCTCCCCACTAGCCAGGCCAGGGCCATGTGCCCACCACAGAGTTAGTGGTCGGGTGAGCCCCACCTGAATCCCATGGACTGAGAGTTGAAGAGCTGTGGTTTCCTGAAGGAAAATCAGGGTGCTAAAGAGAAAAAATATAAAGACAAGAAAAGCATATCCGCAGTACCCAGGCTCACATGTGTTCTCTGTACCTCATTGGCTCTCCATGATTCTAGAATTTGATCCCGTGTTCTGCATAGCTTTCCTTTCCAAGTCCTTTCTTTGACACAGATGTGCTTCTTAGCAGATTATAGAATTGTGTAAAACCAAGGATTACGCTTAACGTAATCTAGAAGTCTTGAATTTTAAACCATCTGCTACATATAATATAAGATCCCAATGTGCATAATGTATTAGGGACTTGAAAGAAAACCATCTCCATCACTGATCATTCAGTGAGGGATCATTTTCCCTCCACCCAGTCATGTCATCTCCACCTTAGTGGAACTCTTCTCTGTCTGATCAGATGATAAATTAATTGTTCAAAGTAAACTGGAGGAATATGTTTGAAAGTCCTTAGAGAAGATAAAGGTGCTATACAAACAAAAGGTGTTATTAGTTTTACTGATTTTTAAATTTTATAGTTCTATGATTTTTTAAATCTATCCTTAAATTACCCTAATATATATATAAGCACACTCAACTTCCAGGCCTGTTCTCCAGAGCCAGAGTCAGCAAACTTTATCTATAAAGCGCCAGCTAGTAAATATTTTGAGCTTTACAGTCGGCCATGTCTCTGTGCAACTACTCAGTTCTGTTATGGCACGAAATGCAGAGAGAGGGTGGGCCAGATTCAGCTCGTGGGGGTCGTAGTTTCCTAGTCTCTGGAGGCATTAGTAAACCGCTCAGAGAAGACCACTCTGTCTTACTCTTTTGTGTGGCATTTTAGAGTAAACTCCTCCTCTGGGGCCTCTGTATGATCCCTTCCCTCCGAGTGACTCACACACTAATTGACAAAGTGTAGCACTGACCTCAAGTTACCCCTCTCCTCCAGCTGCTTGGAGTACTTTTTTTGTTTTATTTCCTTAGTAAAATGAGCACCACATGGGACACGAGACATCTTGAGATTTATAACCGACTCTCTGTGTTTCACTCCTCAAGACCTGGAAGTGTGGGGCCAGGGCAGTCAGCATCCAGGGAAGTTGTGTATCTTTTCTCGGCTTGTGGGTCACATTTTGTTTTAAACTGCTGGGTAGGATCGCTTCTGAATGAACTCTGCCAGGCAGCACTGCTGTTTAAAAGTCACCTCCTAACAAATGGCACTTTTCCTCCAAACGGAAGAAGAAGAAATAGAGATGAACCATTTTCTATGTGCTGTTACTACAAAAATGCGTAAACACCAGTGCTTGCTTTCCGATCTAACCTTTAATAAAAATGATGCCAAAGTAAGTACATAGATGTTAACTTAAACATAAAACAAAAGGAATTCTTTCTCATCGACCATTAGCAGGCATTTCTGCCAAACGGAAAAACATTACCTCTCTGTTCCAAACAAGCCTGCAGCCTAGCCAGCGAGATGATTGATGTACTTGGATAAAGTCCTCCTCTCATTTTCTGAGGGGGAGAAATGGATGAATTTCAGGGATTGGGCTGCTCTTAAAAAATAACGGGTCACAGAATTGAAGAAGGCAGCTTGCATGTTTTCAAAAATGAAGCTTTCCTCTTGGGGGTGAAATCTCGGACTCCAGGCATTAGAGAAAATTTTGAATGCAGCGTCATTCATTTAATAGAGTCAGACCCTCAGGATTACATTGTAAGGCATATCCAGATGTGGAAGATGTGGGACAAGGCCTCGAGATTTCCCAAATGAGTGATGGTTCGGAGACAGACTTGAACCCACCCGGTGCACAAGCCACATTGCACTTTTGGCTCCTCTGTCCTTGCTTCAGGCCATGCGGCGCCCTCACCAGAGCCTTCGACGGGCACTGCGTGGAGCTTAGAAATAAACAGAAACTCTCAGGTAAGACATTCTAAACATTCACTTTGCTACCGGGCTTCAGGAGGTGAATCCTGCCTGATCAAGTTCTCCAAAAGCGTGCTGGGATTCACGGGAACGATGATCTGGGGAGACTGGGAGAAAGCACTTGCTTGCACATGCCCAGTCCCCAGTGAGCACTCATCTGAATAAAATGAACCCAATGCTTTTGGAGCCAGCCTGGCCGTGAAGAACGCTTTGTTCAATACAATTACTGAAGAAAACCATGAAGTAGCTCAAAGTTGGCCTGCGACCAGGACACAGTTACATAAGGCTGAATGACCATTACATGGATCATTCTCGTTTTCCCATAAAGAATTGGGGATCCGAGAGGGCAGCAAAGATGACATGATGCTCTCACGCGGTCTTAACAGAAAATAAATTTTGCAACATGAGTGTCTGTGTGAAAAGTCACATCAGGAAGTAACATGAAACAGCTGGTTTCCCTCCTATATGATTGGCCCCCTACCACAACTGGAAAATATTCATCCTTTGGAATCCTAGCTGCCAGATATAATTGCTTTGTGTGCAGACTAGTCTAGCTTCTCATCACAAATGTGTGTGTGTGTGTGTGTGTGTGTGTGTGTCCAAGTTGATGGTGCTGGCTTAAAATGAACAATAAACATTAAATTCAAAAAACATCAAGGAAGGAGAATAATACTTGATAGCTGTGCCCTATGCTGGGGGAGGAAGTATTCCAAAACAGGGCTGTAAAAATTGCGAGGCGCTATTGTCAATTTAACATCTAATTAAAAGCACTCCTAAAGGAAATGGAAGATGGTAATGAGCCAGAGGGTAGAGCTTGTGCTGGGGATGGGGTAACAGGGTCATAGAGAATGGAGGCTGGGAGGGACAATATTTTTAGGCTGCTTTGCTTTCAGGTAGGAAAGGGAAATCAGTCCAAGCATGCGTCCTTATACCTCATGTTTATTTTTTCCTGAAGCAACGCCAGTCTTACTTCAGCAGAATTTGGAGTAGGTCAGGAGTTCCAGGCCCCGCTTGCCCCCACACCCCCAGCCCTTGCTTTCCTCTTTCTCTACACCTTGGAGTATCCTCCCCCACAGCAAAGACAGGTGCTCCCTGCCGGCCAGGGGCTCCTCCCCACATCACCACTCACTACAAGATAAACTTGTACTGGGTCCCCATATCACTTTCCTTTTTTTCTTAGTAACGATTGACACTCATTCTTGTGTCACTGATAACCTCATCCTTCTGATGACCGTGGGTTCTCCTTCCCAAAGTGATATATTTAATTCTTATGTTAACAGAGTGTTGAGACCCTCTCCATCAGCCAAAAGAATAACCCTACAAGTGAGAATTTCAGGCTGCAGAAAAAGCTATTCCGAGATGAAGTCTATCTTCCAGCATCCCTCAAATCTCACTCCGAAGTGGGCCTCTCGTCTGCCGTGGAAGCTTCAGTGGTAGCCAAGCAAAACCACACACAGACCACCAGGGTAGTCAGCAGGGTGGCCCCACACACCGACCAGATAAGCATCCCTGTGACATTTTAAACATTGTGTCCTTTTTCTGAGAAGGCTTCCCGAAGCGGAAATTGCCAGTGGGACCTTCCAGAACAAGCGAGGCAGCCCTGTGTCCCACACTCCCAGTCTGCTGCTCCTTGGGCGCCCAAATTATGTACAAATCCTGGAACATACAGCTTGGAATGACTTCCAATTCGAGTCCAAATGAGACAATTTTTCTTTCCTTGCAGGTTTATCACATAGCAGGATTCTTTCCTCCTGGGTTCGTTCTCCCCAGCCCTCCCCAAACTTTTAGCTGACTTTTGGTTAATTCGTGGCTTTCCATTTGATGCTAAAAGCCCAGTTTTCCTGTGCTCTTGGAGTTTTTTATTTGTTCTCTTAGTGAATAACTTAACATTGACTGAAAGATGGTGCTTTCTTATCAGTGCCGCAGGAAATTTAATTTTTTTAATTTAAATTTTTTTAATTT